GGCACATGCCCAGTCCCTCGCGCTGCCCGAACACTCTCCTGCAGACTCCTATGGGATGGCCGAGGCCTCGCCTCCTGGAGGAGGCCCGGGGCCACCTCTGCCCTGAGCCCTGCCTTCTAGAGCCCCCGTCACCACAGGCCTCACTGTTCTGCCTCCACCTTGGCTTCTAGCTGGGGTGCACACAGTGCCACAAATGCACTCCCTGGTCACCTGTGCACACACACTCTGTCCTCTCTGCCCCTGCCCACCGTGAAGTGGAGGCGGCTCTCCGTCTCCATGAGCACGTCCAGTCGTAAGGTCAGGATGTCCCTGGGGAAGAAGGTGGGGGACGTGCGGGTCAGGGTGGCTGTGTAGCCCGTCTCCGAGGGGCTCAGGCTCTCCATCCTGTAGCTGGGGTAGCTGGGTGGGAAGAAACACCAGGGCTGCCCCAGCAGGGGGCCCTCCGGGTCCCTGCTCGCTGGGACATAGCAGCAGCCGCGGGCCTCACACTCCTGCTGGGTCAGGGCCTTGTCCGGGGCACAGTCGAAGCGGCTGTTGGGGGGGACGTCACACTGTGTGGGCGCTGCTCTGGGCTGGCCAGGGTGCTCCAGGGTGTAGCGCGGCCCTTGCCAGTTGGCTTGCTGCCGGTGAGCTGGGGGACTTTCCTCCACCGGGAAGTCATGGACCAGGACATGCCCCAGCAGGGCAGCCGCGGCCAAGAAGATGAGGGCGCAGACCCCCATCACCGGGCGGGAGCAGGACGGCCACCTGGCATTCATGGCTGACACCTGCCCGTCTGGGGCAGCGCGCGCGGGCAGCTCCTGGAGGCCTGCCGAGGGAAGGACTGGGCTCAGCGGGGAGGCAGGAGGGGGGGCAGGTGGGTTTTTTCTCTGTGGTGCTGGTGACTAAACCCAGGGCCGAGCATGCCAGGCTGTGCTCCACCCTCCAGCGACACCTGCAGTCCCTCATTAACTGACTGTCCAGCAGGCCCAGGAGGTGCAGGAAGGCCGTCCCGTCCTGGCAAGGAAGCCAGGAGCAGGGGCAGGATGGAGGTGCTCCTCAGAGGCCATGGCGGGCGCTGCAATCTATGCGGACTGACGTGGGAGGAGGGAGACCAAAGGGAAAAGAGAAACGTCCCAAATAGGGACTGTAGATCACCTCCCACTGATTCTTCCACAATGTCACAACTGAGATGCACCAGTGGGAGAGGGACAGGCCCAGCAGGAGGGGGACCATCAGATGGCAAGAGGGACCCCCCTCTGCAGGAAGGCTGGGCCCAGGCTGCTAAGTCTTGGCCAGCAAGCTGTGTCCTAGGGGCCCTGCCACCTCCCCTTGGTTCCTTTCCTGCTGACAGACAGTGAGAATTTTGGGCGTTGCAGTCTCGGGTCACGCGCTAAGGATGGCCATGCCCCGAGAAAGGCCCTCACCCCACCACTCTGAGGGCCCCTCCAGGCCTCGCTGCAGCACACAGGGAGGACGCGCTCTGTGGCTCGCGGACCCTGGAGCACCTGGGAACGGGATGCCAATGAGGAGGTGAGGTTCAAGTGCTGTCCTGTTATCTTTTTGGTAAGTCCCCAACGGTGTGTGAGGAGCTCTGCGTTCGTCGTGAGGCGACTTGATCACCCTTTAATCTGAGAGCAAGTGGGAGCAAGGAGGCCGGGAAGTTGCCCCATGGATGCAAGTCTGACCCCAAAGGAAGAAGAAAGGGGGGTGGGGCTGAGGTGTCTTGGCAGCAAGGCCACCAAGGGGGGGCCTCCAACCACACTGGCTCATCAGAGGGGGCTGGGTCTCCCAGGAATGGGCCCCAGGGCAGAAACAGGCACGGATTTTCAGAGCACAGCAACGGGCCCTCAGCCAATGCAAGCCCATGTCATGGGAGGTCTGTAGGTGCCCCATGGCCACCAAACAGACACACTGGGGAAAGCTGTGCACCAGCAGAGGCGAACGTGGGTCCGAGACTGCCTGGCCTCCCTGATCACAGAGGGGGGCTGGGAACCGTGTGACCATCAGCCACGCTCGGGGCACCTGGTGAACTGGCTCTCTGGGTTGCAGCAAAGGTTTGACACTCGTCTCTCTCACCAACGGGACTCTCCAGACACGGGCTGAGGTTCAGTTCTGACACTACCTACCTGGAGTTGGGCACACCTACAGTTAGGAGCTCAGACCCACTCTGGATGCCCGCGGCAGGTTCCAGGCTGCCTTTACAACTTCTGATTGGCTACACACGTGGGGTGTCCCGAGACCCCTCAGGTCAGGTGATTCAACACAGGGGCTCAGGGAACTCAGGAAGGCACTTTACTTAAATTTTCTGCTTTGTTACAGACATAACTCGGGAACTGGCAGATGGAAGAGATGTGTAGGGCAACCTGGAGGCTCTCTGAACCCCAGTTCAGGGGATTTTTATGGGGCTCCATTATGTAGGTGTCACTGAGTAAATGAAGGGCCACTGGCAACTGACTCATCTCCAGCCTTCCTGGGAGGCGTGGCTGGGTGGGGACTTTCACTCTAATCAAGTGTGGGTCCTCCTGGTGACCAGCCCCATCCTGAAGCTACCTAGGGGCCTTCAGCCACCTCGGGAGCAAACTTTTCACGCTTACACTTAACAGGGCCAGCTTCCAAGGATTTAGGAGCTGTGTGCCAGGAAGCAGCCAGGAAGACCAAATAGTGACTTTGAAGGGTCCCAGCCCCACCTGGCCCTGCTAGACACATGTGCCAGCTGGTGACCATGACTCAGTCTAGGGAACTCCGACAGGGCACCCCAGCAGAGCGGCGTCTGCGCGCGGCATCTGCGTTTTCCAGGAGCTGCGGGGCACAGCGCGGCAGAGCGCAGTCTGCAACACGCCCACGGGGGAAGCGAGGTCCTGGGAATGGGGACCGGCAGCCCTTGGCCCGGCACGGGAGAGTGCCCGGCTCATCTCTGGGTTCGACAATTCGGAGAGGAAATGGGGAAGAGCTAAAGGTCAGGCGCTGCAGCTGACCCGGTGAGTTCCGCTTTCTGGTGGTGCCCCGGGCAGCTGCTCTCCGGGAGCAGCGCGGGTCGAAGCGCAGCTTTCGGACACCGGAGCAGAGCCTTCCCGGCTGGGCGCGGCGGGCACGAGCGAGAGGCCGGAAGTCTGGGGCCCCGGCCCACTGTCCCTCGCGACCCACCGGGGCCTCCCCGGCGACCACGCCGCACTGCCCGACTCTCCCCACCAAGAGGTCGCCGACAGCCGGGCGCCGCACCCGGCAGCCCGCCGCGGAGGCCAGCACTGCAGCCGGCTGCCGGGCCTCGGACGGCCGCCCCCGCTCACCTGCGCGCACGTCGGCCCGCTGCCGCTCACCGGCGCGCACGCACGCCCCCCGCGGCGCAGAGCCCGGGCGGGCCGGGCGCGGGTCACGTGGCCCGCCGGCCGGTGGGGCGGGGCCGTGGCGGTCACGTGTCGCGGCTGCCCGCGCAGGCGCGCGAGGCCAGGCGCGCTCTCAGGTTGCGTTGCGCCACCTAGTGGCGGCGCGGGTCCGGCGGGACAGGTGCCCCCAGGAGAGCGTCCTGCAAGTGGCTGCCTGTCCCTACGGGGTCCAGAGACAAGGTGCGGCGTGGGCACAGCCCAGGCCTTGGTCGCCTTCCTGCGGCTAGTAAGACTCGGTCAAAGCTTGCCAAGCCCCACTCTGCACCTCGGGACTGCATCCTGCAGACCCAGCCCTAGGGCATCCTCAGAAAGACTGGGTGACAGGTTGAAATGAGCCTACGTCTGGAGGCTCCTTCAACTTCCCACAATTCACGCTTATTCTCTAGAGGAATAGTCAAACATCGTGATAACCCATAAAACCTGTGATCGTGAAAACACTGTGTATAATGCGAAGCGTTTTGTCTTTTTTGCTAAAGTGAGAAAATGCTTACACTAAGATGAACAAATTTTAGGTGTGGGATACAAAGACTGAGTGCACACTTCAGGAGGAAGTAAGGAGCGATGCCCAAATCCCCACAGCCGTTGCCCTGGGTGGGGAATGAAGACCTCCCCTCCTGCTTTGTGGCGCTGTACTTCTGCAATGTTGTAGAGTCAATAGGCCTCACTCCCATAGTCAGAAAGAATGTTTTTATTCTTCAGCTGGGAAATTTGAAAGTGAAATTATTTTATCAAGCATTTTCCCTTTCAGATTTGGAGAAGCCACAGGTAATTGATGCATAGAATTCAAGGGCACAGGAGAAAGGGTTAATGATGGGGAGAGGCTGACAGACGTGGGACAGGCAGACCTGCTGGTCACCTCCCTTGGAAGTCCTGAGAGCCTTGACTTGTCCCTACAGACGGTACCTCTGACTTTAACATACACTGGAGGTGGGGGCAGGAGAAGGGGCCAAGTTCTTTGTGGGCTTGGTGGATTTCCAGATGTGCCCCGCCAGAAGCACTGAGTAGGAATGAAGTGGCCTGCATGGCCTGGCTGTCCAGTCTTGCTCCATGGGTCCCCTCTGCCCTACCTGCCCCCGTCCCCAAACCTGGGACAATATTCCAGGAAGCTCCTGCAGATGGGGGAGTTGCTAAAGCTGGACTTCCACTTGGACCAATCAGCTCAAGAAAGGAAGCAGAAGGCAGGCAGCCAGCAGGCTCAGGAGGCACCCAGGGAGCCCTGGATTGGACTTGGTTTAAGCTGCTGAGCGGCTGGGAACTAATTCCTGCGGGCCGGCCTCTCCATTTCATCACACAGGGACATTCTGGGGACGCATGTTTTTTAGGAACACAGAAAGACCCCTGGGGGTAAACAGAATTCTGGCGGTCTTCCTCAGGGGTGGGCCTTGGGAGGCGGAGTCCTGAGCTTTCTAGGTGGGCTCCAGCTTGCTGGCGATCTTCTGGGTAACCTTGCTGAGGGCCTCCTGGAACTGGGGGTACTCATCCTGCACCTGGGTGAGGATGGTGCTGAGCAGGCCCAACCGGTCATTCAGCCGCCTGTGCTCCATCAGCAGGGATTTCTTCGAGCGGAACAGGAACACGTACCTCCCGTCAATCACAGCCTGCAGGTGCTTGAGGCGAGTCTGCAGGGCCACAATCTCCGAAAGGTTCTGGGTGGGAAAGAGACCCCACGTCAGGCCGTGCAAGTCGGGAGGACACCTGCTCTACCGCAGTGCAGGGCGGAGGGAATGCCAAAGAGGAGCACCGTGCCCAAAGAGCCCAGTCTCCAAGTTCAAGGTGAGGAGTCTATCCCTCCCAAGGGAGCCTTGTTCACCATCGCGGGGAGACATCTTTGACACTGCCGTGTGTCAGGCCTGGTTCCAGACCTGTTCTGGTCTCCATGGCCCTGGCTGAGTCCTCCCAACTCACACTCACACCACCGTCCGTCCAGTAGGAAAGCCCACTGGCCGAACTTCTGAATGGGATGCAGAATCCAGCAGCTTCCCTGGGTGGCTGCCCTCGTCCACGCACACTCCAGCAGCAGCCTCCTGCGTCCACTCTTGACCCTTCACCCAACACCCTCCAACAACAGGGAGATCCTGCCAAACACCAAGTCCCCTCACCCAGCGCCCTTCATTATCTCCTCCTCAAGTTGCCAAGAGAAAGACCCAAAGCCAGGATCACGCGCCTCCAAGGCTACACACACCAGAGTGTCCCCTTTGCCTGGGTGGCTCTGTCTCTCCTGGCCTCCTTCAAGTCTCAGCTCAAATGCCATCTTCTCCATGTGGCCTCCCCAGAACACCCCACTCAAAATCTCAGTCCCCCATTCCACCCTGATGCCTGACATTCTTCCTCTGCTGAATTTTCTCCAAAGAATTTATCACCGCCTAACACACCCTGTCTTTTTCTTTATTCTGTTTAGCCTCTGTTCTCTTGCTCCCAGCATGTGGTCTCTGGTGAAGGGTGGGCGGGCATTTTGTCTTTCTGCTCTGTCCTGCAGTCCTGGCACCCAGGATGGGCCCAGCCTAGACTCAATAGCTATCGATATTTGCTAAGTGAAAAAAACCAGAGAGTCACAAACATGTGAGCAGCTGGTGGTGCCATCAGCCTGGGCCTGCCTGGACCCGAGAGGCCTTCCCTGGGTGGCACCCCCTTCTCTTGCATGTGGCACACCCCTCTGCCAGGGTGCCTGAGCCCCAGTGACCTCCTGGCTTTTACCTGTCGCTTGAGGGCCACCAGCTGGCGGAGGTCAGCCTCCAGCGTGTCGGAGTCCGCCTGCATCATGGACAGCTTTTCCTGCTTCTCCAGGAGGGAGCTGCTCATGAGTTTCTGAGTCTCCTCCAGCTCTGAGATGGTCTTGGTGCACTCCTCGTTGGCCTGGGAGGTAAGCAGAACCTGCTGGGCCCTGCGTGGCCCTCAGTAGTGGACAGAAGAGTGCCAGGCTAGGGCCCGGAGGACGAGGAGGTCCTGGTGGGGAACCGGGAGGCACGGAAGGCAGGGAGGAGGGGGACATGGGACAGGGAGCTGCAGAAGGGATGGATGCCAGAGAGGCTGGTGCCACAGGCGAGGGGCGAGGAGGGGCCTCTGCCTCGGCACCTCGGAGACTTCCAGGGACTGCCCCACGGCACCGGAGGGCCACTCCCTTCCCCTCCTGAGGAGGAGGCACAGAGAGGAGGCCACATAGAAGAGAGGGCTCTGAGGCCATGTTCCCAGGTGTCCCCAAAGCCACCCACTGTGCAGAGCCACGGCTGCTGTCCCATTGAACCCTTTGCCTACAGGGAGGCAGCTCCTGCTCCTCCTCCCAGGGCAGGTGTGGAGACGCAGGCTCCACAGTGCCCAGGGCCCACAGCTGGTCAGCAGGGGCTGTGGGCCAACCTGGGAAGTCTGAGCCCAGAGACCCAGCCTGGCAGTCACCAGGGAAGGGGGCGCTGGGGCAACACTGGCTCCACCCTCCGCAGGCAGGGCACACACAGGCTCAGGGGCTGTGGCTGGGGGGACAGGAAGGCGGTCCCCGGGAGAGCAGCACAGAGCCCTGCTGAACACGGGCCAGCTGGGGGCCACCACGTCTTCACTCAGAGGCTCCAGCAGGGGTCCTGTGTCCCCCTCGTAAAAAGATGGTGGCCAGACCCAGAGGCTGCAGGGACTCCTGTCATCAAGCAGGACAGATTGGTGTGTCCATTGCCAAAGCAGGCCTGCTGCCCCCTCGTCACAGCCCTGTCACAGCCTTAGCACGGCAGTCCCGACTGCAGCCCTGGACTGAGTTGCTGAGAGGACTCGCTGACAGGTGGATGGTGGGGGCTGGGCCGGGACTGCAGGCCCTGGGACAGGTGGGCAGGCTCCTCAGGGGGCCAGTGGGGGGGGCATTGGGGCACCTCCGGATCCTAAGGCCGTGGATGGGAAAGCACAAGGGGGCGTCCAGGCCTTCCCCTGCTGCCCACCTTGTGCACGTCCCTGATCTTCTTGCGCAGCTCCATCTGCCTGTGGCGGAAGTCCGTCCGGGTGACCGCCTTCTTGTCCATCTTGCTCTGCCCCTCGGCGTGGGTCACGATGGTCTCCCTGCGGGCCACGGCCAGCTCCATGTCGTGGATCATCTTCTCCTGCTGCTTTAGCAGCTGCCCATGCTTGACCTGGGCACAGGACAGAGGGGCTGGGCAGGGCACAGCTTGTCCTCCGCTGTGGTCCTCCCACCCGGGACAGGAAAGGGGCGTTCCTGAGCAGAGCCGGTGGCTTGGTTGGCGGGGCCAGGCTGGTTTCTTGGCTGTGACAACGCACGGAGGTTTGGTGAGACGTGACACTGAGGGAAGCTGAGTGCAGGGCCTGTGGCGGGGTGGAGCTGGGAGAGTCAACCTCAGGGCACAAGGGACAGTTCTGGAGCCACAGAACCATTGGGGTCTCGACTGTAGCTGTAGCCACACAGGCGTGTGCCTGGGTCAGAACCTAGAGTCATTTTCCTTTTTCTTTTCTGCAGTCCTGAGGGTGGAACCGGGGGCTCTGACTGAGCTGCAGCCCCAGCCCTTTTTATTTTTACTCTGAGACAGGGTCTTGCTCTGTTGCTGAGGCTGGCCTGGAGCTAGGATCTTCCTGCCTCAGCCTCCCAGTAGCTGGAATATGGGGGTGCACCATGGCACGGAGCTCGACTGTGTGTTAAGATAAGCACATTTTACTGTATGGAAAGAAAGGCCTCGACAAGTGGACTTGGAAGAAACAAAGCCAGGTGCGGTGGCCACACCCGTGACCCCAGCGGCTCAGGAGGCTGAGGCAGGAGTTCAAACCCAGCCTCTGCAATTTGGTGAGGCCCTAAGCAACTCAGTGAGACCCTGTCTCTAAACAAAATACAAAAAAGGGCTGTGATGTGGCTCAGTGGTTAATGTGGCTCAAAAGAAAGCTAGGTAGCTAGCTGAACAAAAACCAGAACTTGGAGTTGGAAGGGATGTAACCACCATCACGTGATTTTGAATACTCATCTGGCAGGCTATGTTAGGAATGTACTTCTGGGGATGGGGACTCAGCCCAGTTGTACAGCGCTTGGCCTTGCGGGAGGCCCAGGGTTCCACCCCTAGCAGCACTGAGTGAGTGAGTAAATGAAGACGTTGTTTAAAACACGAATTTGCCTATCGGTAGCCTCCTCTTGGGAATGCAGTGCACAGGAAGATGGACCGGGTGTTACCTAACACGGTGTGAGGGTTAGTTTTTGTCACCAAGGGCTGCCCAGATAGCTGGTGCCCACGACCCCTGGGGGGTCTGTGAGGGCGTCCTGCAAGAGCCTGGTCAGTGCGCAGTAGAGGTCCGCTCTCCCTGGAGGCAGGCACTGTCCGATGGCTCGGCACTGGCCGGGCACCTGCTAGGTGGTGCATGACCATGGGTGGCTATGCTCTGTGGGATCTGCTTCTCTGGAGAACCCTCTGGGTTTGGGGAAACCCGACCCAGTGTGTGAGAACTGGCTGCTGAAGGCAGACGGTGCCCGAGGCGCAGGAAGAGGCAGACAGACCCGGGACTGCACCGAGAGCGAGCTGGAGGCACCCGAGACAGCAGTGTATCTTGGGAGGCAGCAAGACAGGGTCCCTGCACCCCAAGGCAGGAGGAAGGGGTCTACATGCTAAGCTGGACAGAGAGGGCCCGGGCTGTGGCCAGCCAGAATGTTTTCTCACACATGGCGAAAGCGCTGGTCGTTAGTGAAGGAACAGCCCTGGCGCCCGAGGCCGGTACACCGCCTGGCCGACTGTCCTACGACTCTGCCTGACCTCGAGAGGGTGGGCTGAGTGCCCGGGCCAGCTGGCAGTTACGCTGGGGATGGCTGTGCCACGTCAGGATGGACCCCGGGACCAATGCCCATGTGCTGGGGTAGAGGGACCCCGGGAAGGCTCCTTCAGCTCACAGTGTTCCAGTTAACTGTGGGGCAGGCACCGTCCACCCTATAACCGCCTAAGAACGCTGGAGTCTGTATTTAAAATAGAGAAGTGGGGGGTACATGGGCACTGTTTTTGTTAAGGATGCGACTCCCAGAGGGCAGGATGTGTGGGGCAGGTCTGAACCCAGCAGGCCCCTTGCCCTGTGGGGCTCGCTCAGACACCCTAATGGGCAGGGGCGGGGGGCGGGATGGGGAGCTGGCTCCCTGCAGCAAATGCATGGCTTCTGTGGTTTGGGACACAAGGAAGTATTTTTAAAACGACTTTTCAGGAGTGCATGCATCTGAACTGAGAGCGCCTCGTCAGCCAGAGGGACCTGTGTTAAATGACACTGTCACAGTGGCATCACGTTATTCTTATCAACCCTGGGGCTTTTCTTTTTGGTGGTACTAGAGATTGAATCCAGGGGTGCTCAACAACTGAACTCCATGCCCGCAGCCCTTTTGATTTTTTAATTTTGAGACAGGGTCTCACTAAGTTGCTGAGGCTGGCCTCAACCTTGTTATCCTTCTGCCTCAGCCTCCTGAGCCTCTGGGACTGCAGGTGGCCCACCCAGGCTTACTGCTTGAAGGCTGGGAACCTGAAGCTCATTGATCCCATGATTTAATTGTCGGCCTTTTAAGGTAGTGAAGTCTGGATTCTGTGAAGGACCAGATGGCTCTCTGAACACTTTGTCTTGCGAGTTTCTTCTTGTCCCACAGTGGGACATGTCTCATTAGTGGGTTGAGAAATTGTCTGTGAAATATCAGGCGAGTGCCTTGATTGCTACAGCAAGGATGAGGTTGTGCTTCTTGAAGTCACGTGTCCATGCACCGCAGGCTCAAGGCCAGCCTGGGCAACTTAGTGACACCCTGTCTTAAGTTTACAAAGGGCTGGGATGTAGCTCAGTGGACAAGTGCTTCCGAGCACGGGCAAAGCCTGCAGTTCCAGCCTCAGTACCAAGAAAAGAAAAAAAAGGCTGTGTCACTGTGCGTGTCCTGTGTTGTTCTGTGATCTCTGCTGGGCAGGAAGGACACAGCGCCTCGGGCCCCGAGGTGAGGCAGGTCTGGGCCTGTGCAAAGCCTGCGCTTGGTAGGAATTTAGGTCCCTGTGCAGGAGGGAATCTCAGGCATTGTCACGGCCAGGGTGGCCAGGCGGTCCCCCCAGGGGGGCCAGGGCCTCGGCCTGATCTGGTCCTGGTCCATGGAGGGATGTCTGCCGGGCCCTGCCAGGGCTGCTGCCCCGCACCCACCTTCATCCTGTGGATCTCTGCCTTCATGGTGCGGATCTCGGTCTGTCCTGTCTCAGAGTCCACCGAGGAGCGCATCTCTTTTGCCAGTTGGATTTTTTTCTCCCAAAGCATGATCTGGTGTCTTTGGAGGGAGGAGAGGCAGAGTGAGAGCTGGAGAAACCAGGGGTCTTCTCCCAGGCCCACATCGTGTGGAGCTGGGAGGAGGCACAGACTGCAAGGTCTCAGCCTTTACTCTCTGGCCCCCCACAGAAGAGAT